AAAAAAAAAAAAAAAAACCAAAACGTACAGTAACAGTTCTTTTCACATGCTACCACAACTGCTGTTTGTATCCCTGCCTTGTTTGTGCATGTATATGCTGGTAGCTTACACAGGAGCGGCTTCTGCTACTACCACTACAGCCGGCACTCGCTCCAGCTTCCCTTCTCCGACTGCTTCAAGCGTGTCGGATGCACACAATGAGCGGTACAGATGCCATGAGAGGAAGAAGAGGCGGGGGATCATCTTCCTGGCCCAGCTGGAAATGATTTCGGACTTCTCCATGAAGTGAGCTGGAAAAATGTCTAACACATGATTGGGCTGTTGTCAAGTCTGGGAATGGTACAGCAATCTCAAGGATCAGCACCAGTTAGTTTCGCCTGCGCTGCAAACCTTGGCAGTACCCGGATGCATCGTAAACCCTAAGCTCGGCCTGTTCGCAAATGCACTCATCAGTGCTGGTACTGTTGGCAGCAGAGGCCTGGGCCATAAAATGTGCGTTGGCTATACATGTCATGCTACTATAGAGTATGAAATCGAAGACAGAAGCAAAGTGATGGCCTCTTGGTGCCTCTTACGCATTCTGAGGTGGGTGCTTGCTGAAGTAACGCTGAGAGAATCAGAAGTGCCAGAAGGTAGCCTTTGATCTTCACCTGCCACGAAGATGCAGTCTCTAGTCATGATTTGATTAGTCTGAACTTATTGACTGGCTGATGTCGTGTGATTCTGCTTGGCGAGGCCACGAAAGAATAATCACTTTCACTTCACTTTCATGGCAGTATGGCTCTTCTGGGTTGTATGAATGCAGGCTGACGTCAGGATTCCATGTCTGTTCAAGCCTGGAATGAGCAATGACATATGATAATCACCCACAGCTTCATGTGCAGAGGCGCTCGGCAATGTTCGCATCCAAATTCATGCAGCTACCAGTATGTTTTGTACCAGCACACGTGCACCTTGAATTTGGAAAAGACCTTGCTCTTCCCAAAGTGCATCGAGGCAAATTTCAAGGAAGCGGGGCTTGAAGGCAACGAAACGCGAGTCTTCATGCCCAGCGGGTTGTCTGCCCGCTCGCGTGCACTGACGGCTGGCTAACCAGAACTTGTGTGCATTGATTGGTTTGGCTGAGCCGACGAAGCATTATCGTTGAGTAGCACTGCATGCAGCGCACGTGTCATAGTTTGGTCAATCAGCTGCTTTCACTTTTCATGGGGTGATTGGGTACCAGGTTGATCTGCTGCAACTGTCTTTGGTTGCTCGCGCGCGCTGCTGAAGTAAGTGTAGCCCAGGAAGCCGACCTTGTTTGCATTTGCACGCTTGAATTGGGAAGCAAACATCCGCCATGTACCAGGCATATCCAGGCATTCAAGTCAAATACAACCTGCCAGCTCGGTTTCCCACCAGCGCCAAAGCATAACCTGCCGGAACAATCTCTCTGAAGGCATGTCTGAAATCAAATGCCGGCTGTAGTTGAAGTATTTGCGTCCGCTGCTTGCTGAAAATCAAGCAGTTCCGATGTCAATTGTTCAGCTGTGGTAGCTTGCCTGCCCCATGCTTGAGTTTGATGGGCTCTCCCAGCATCAAAGCACCATACCTGAGCAAAGCACAAGAAATGACCCGCCCCAGTAAACTCTCGAACTGGGCCCTGTCTTGCAGCTCTGCGACACAACCAGAGATACATTGCGAAATGTTGTCCTGGGCACTGCTCCTGCTACGGAACTACTGATGCTATCACCTGAGACTTGTAGACATCACTAGACTTTCTGATCTTCCACAAGTAAGGCCAAGTAAGGAGTGTATCTTACGCTCCAGACCCCCCCTCACTCCTTGTGGTCCTGTGGCCTGTGGTCTGGGCCTTGAGGTTGAAATTGAGATCTATGTATAGATTGTATTGTGGTGCGGTGACCGGTGGTCTGGGTCTTGTTTACATGAAGTTCATAACTTTACAACATGTTCCCGATCTTATCGAAGGCATCCGAGATGAGGACCACCTTGATCCTTGTGACTTTGAGTACTTTTAAATGGGGTCACGATATGATGTTTTGCAAGCGATGACAGTTGCAAGCCACCCGGATGCATGTGAATGCCGGCACTTTTGAAACGCGACGAAATCATGGGGGAGAACAAAACAAAACAGTCACTGGGATGGCAGCTTTGAAGCCTCAGCTAAGCAAGAAGGAAATTGAGTGGATCTTGGGAGCAAAAGATGCATTCAGCTGTGGCTGTGACAATTTTTGTGCTGCGTGACAAACCGACAATCACCTATAGGCTTCTGTGACTTAACATGAAGTTTGAGCACAGGGTGACGCGGGACAAGTTAGCTCACTCCCAGGTGTCATGATGCAGCGAATAACAGAGAACAATACATTGCAAACTTACTGAAAACCAAAAGTGGCCTTTGCTGGTAGCCACTGTTTTCAACTGCGAGGGGAATTCAGAAATAAGTTGCAAAAGCGTGGATCTGGCTGTGGTAAAAGCACCTCCAAGTTCAGGGTCATTCCTCTTTTCAGCCTAGAATCACAATCTTGAGGCTCAATGCCCCGCACGACTTGATAACCATGTAGCCTGAGTTCCAAGGCCGAATGTGCAGCTCTCGTGACCGGAGACACCACATGACTGCTGTGATATGTGCGGCGGGACAATCAAAGCAGAGATTGATAGCAGGAGTCTACGGACGTTGCGCAGTGAGTCATGGCTCAGATGGATGCAAGCAATCTTTTGGAACGGGTTGGAAGGGTATAGAAGCTAAGACCTCCGATCAGAATCATCGGCATCATTGTCAGGTACTATTTCGACCTGATTTGCATTCACGCGCCGAAGGAACAAATCAACACTTGTTCCATACCCAGGCAAGGATACCAGGTTCAACGACCCTCCCAGATACCGGGCATAGAGGCGAGAAAGTGGGAGGCCTATGCCGTATCCTGCCAGCGATGTCGCGTGCTGACCATAATTGCTAGGACCTTTGCCAGCAGTTGTGTAAAGGTAGGACCAAACTTTCTGTCCCACACCAAAAGGAATGCCTCGTGCACGGTCACTGACCCGAATTGCAACCTCGTGGTCGTCTGCGCAAACGATCACATTGATAGGCCGTTTCTGTACATCACGGTCCGACTTTGCAACTTCAGCCGTTGCACGGCAACTGTTTTTCAGCACCTCCGTCATGATGAAGCGCAGGAAACCGGGGATGTATGAGAACCTGGTTCGGGCAGGATTGTTGCAGGTCTTCATTAGCGCTTTACTCTCCTGCCAGTGCTCCATACTGTCACAGCACCTTGGAATTGCGCGCTCTTGGAAGACCTCCACTTGGATGAATGGGCAACGTCCAGTGTGTTCCTCGAAGCACGGTGAGCGGTGCCAACGTATATCATCCTAATAATGATCCCATAGTAGTTTCCATGTCATTTTCCATTTGACTCTCCGTTATCCCTATGTAACCCCTATAGTACCCCATATAAATCTGCAGTCAGCTGCAGTCCTCCGTGATCTCTTGTACCTTCATTGCAGTTTCACGGCAGATCTGCGCCACGTCGCAATCTGGGTCAATTATTCCAGCCATGGCGTGTCCCCTCTGTCTTGCTCCAGAATCTTCCATCGTCACGCAGGCCAGGTACCTTCTTATACGAGGAACTTCTTAGCTTCTGTCTTGCGTATTCCAAGAATCATGAACCCCTACCCATCATATAAACAGCTTCCTAAACAGCTCTTCTCCAAGCTGCTGCGACATGAGCATCTCAGTGCCAATGCAGTTCAGAAGGAAATCATCTGCCCAGGGGTCGGTGAAGTCACTGCCAAACCTGAGATCCGCTTCACAAGCCCAGGAAAGCTATTCACGCACCATCAGGAAAGGCCAATGCACTTCAAGATTCACTGCACTTTCAATTTATCTGTAGTTGGCACTGTGATCAAACGTGACAGAACGGATGATCTTGAAACGAAGATACTCTTCACCTCGCTGCGTGTGAAGCCGATGCATGGCCAGTGCCACCTCAGGGGCTCCCTGCAAACCCTTCCTCCCCTAACATCGTTGAACTGCGTACAGATTCGCAGCAAACGATATGGTGTGCAAATGTGTCAAACTGGCTCCGCTGCAAAGCAGCAGCTTGTACCTTGTGCCGAACCGGCTGCTGTGCATGCAGCGCGTGCTGGACAACAGCAGTGAAGGCATCCAGTGTGGGGCGGCGCTGCACCAACCGGAGGTCTCGGAACACCTTCGTAGACTGAAAAACACCAGGGCACTTGCCGTCCTGTTTTCTACATGTGAGCAACGTCGTCTGTGAGCAGGTGGCCTTCATGTGCGACGTGTGGATATCTCGCAGCTCCTGGATCTCCTTCAGGCAGTGTTTCTTTTTAAGCTGGTTGTTGAACATACGTGCTGGCACTTGTGCAGCCTATGATTCTCAGGCGAGCTGTCGTGACGTTGATACCATGCAACTGAACATCAACTGTCCTCCCAGTTCGGGATATCTTGTATCCACCTGATCCGCTCTGCGATCCTCAAACTTTCTTTGCAGTTTAGGAAGGCTCATGGGCTTGGCCTATGATGGTCGATGAAATGATTGCATGCTTGCACCTCTAAAAATATTTCTCTTGCCGCTTTATCTTCAAAAAGGGACGTGCCTTACAGTTTGGACGGAGTGTATGCACTCAACACCCCAAGGTCAGGATTGAAAAGCTCCAGTAAACTTAAACTCCGCTTGAGGTCCAGCGCCCAGACCCCTATTGACAAGGCCGAGTCGCCGAATCGGCACCTCCACGTGCAAAAACTTGGCGATGCGCTGGGGGTCTAGCATGTCCAACACCTCCTGCGAGACCCCAAGGCCGCCTTCGACGCATCATGTACGCACGAAGGCCGAAGCCATTCCTCGTGTTACCGCTCAGCTTTGTAGTTCAAGCCTCTTTGCAACGGGTCAAACTGAAGACTCATTTTCGGCAAATCCTGCATGCTCAAGGGGCGCGGCTGCATTGGCACGAAATGATCGAGCTCTCCTCACTTGCGTTTTGAGCACGTCTTGTGGGCTCTGTCATCTCATACTCACAGGTTGACATCATGGGTCGACAAGAATGATGGGGCCTACTTTGGAACATGTTGGGGCAGCCACCATCATGGGCATCGACTGGGTCTTCTTTGGCCCTCAGCTGGCGCATGTGGCTCCCACATCGCCAGCATCAGTTGAGCCTAGTTTGGAGAAATGGAAGGGCCCCGAAGCGTCAGCATCATGTGCACCAGCGGGGCCTAATGTGTGGCATGTGGCCCCAAACGCACCAGCATCATGAGCATCAGCTGGGCTTGCTGTGTGGCATGTGGTCCCCAGAGCGCCAGCATCATGAGCATCAGCTGGGCCTAATTTGTGGAATGTGGCCGCGAAAGGGCCAGCATCACGAGCATCAGCTGGGACTGATGTGCGGCATGTGGCCCCAAAGCGTCAGCATCGTGTGCATGAGCTGGGCCTAATGTGTGGCATGTTGGCGCCAAAGCGCCAGCATCACAAGCATCAGCTGGGCCTAATGCGTGGCATGTGGCTCCAAAGCGCCAGCATCATGAGCTGGGTCTGTTGTGTGATATGTGGCCCTAAAGCGCCAGCATCATGAGCATTAGCTGGGCCTTGTGTATGGCATGTGGCTCCAAAAGCGACAGCATCATGAGCATCAGCTGGGCCTAGTGTGTGCCACGTGGCCCTAAGAGCGCCAGCATCATGAGCATCAGCTGGGCCTATTGTGCGACATGTGGCCCCAAAGTGCCAGCATCATTTTCATGCGCTAGACCTAATGTGGCATGTGGCCCTAAAGCGCCAGCATCATGAGCATCAGCTGGGCCTCATGTGTGGCATGTGGCCCCTAAAGCGTCATTATGATGAGCATCAGCTGTGCCCAGTGCATCGCAAAAGGCCAGCAGCATGTGCATCAGCTGGGCCTTTGTGTGGCATGTGGCCCTAAAGTGCCAGCATCATGAGCATCCAAGCACAGGGCTGCCGCTGCTCAAGTCAATGGAGAATGTGGCGCGGTATGCTGAAGCATCTCGGGAACAGTGCTGAGTTGCTGGAACCTACGGTTTCTCAAGCAAAGGGCTGCATTTGCATTTATTATAACCCTCTACATTACTACAGTGACGTTACCGCCGCGATTTCAGACTATAAAATGGGGGTGAATCCATCAAACAGAAGTGGCAGTGGCGCGCGTCACTTCACAACGTGCACAAAAAAGTAAAAACAGCAACAACACTTGGGGTGGGGGGAATTCATTGTCATTGTCATTTTTATGTATCTTTAATGTGGGGAACAAGTCAACACATAAGAAATTGTGTGTTTTTTGTTGTTTGTTTTTTGGTTTTCCATGCTCTTGACACAAAGAAATACAGATATGAAATCAAAAATGTGAAGGTCTCAAAGAAGCACAAGGGTATAAATACAGGGTGCGTATATTTACAAGCTTGTATATATGTGTGTGTTACCATGCCTCATTTTATATCAGCTTGTTAGTCTAAACCTCTACATTGCAATAGCGCGTGGTACCACGTCCCCGTGGCTGCAGCATCCCAGGAGGATTGTGTGAGGATCGAGCACCAGTGCCTGGTTTCCGTATAATCCTCACGTAATCCCCATATAGTCCAGGAGCCCAGACATATTCCCCGCCATAATCCTCACAAAATCCCGATACAATCCCTGCATAATACCTTGTCAATCCTCACAGAATTCCTGTATCATCCTCACAGCACCCCTATATTTCCGAGCACAATCCTCACATAATCCTTCCAGGTTCCAGCCACGCGGACGTGGTACCAAGCACTGCTGCCAGGGATGTGTAGATTAAACAAAGTAAAAACCGCGAGGCGTGGTGGCATACACACACATGTGCATATGTACATATATATAAATATATGTAGATATGATTTTAGATGTGTACACTGTATTTGTACCGTTCATGGGCATGCTCCCTTTACTCTTCTTTCAGCCCTTCATATCTCTGATGTATCTGCGTACTTCTTGGTGTAAAGAACTAGAAAAGCCACTGTTTTTTATATGGACGTCCCCGTAATCCTCAGATAATTCCTATATAATCTCCTTCTGATCCCCTACTCCTGATATATACCCTATATGATCCCCATATATCCCCATATACTCCCTATTCAATCCTCCCACCCCACGGGGACATGGTACCAAGCACTGGTGCTTAATCCTCACATAATCCATACAATATGCCACGAGAACGTGATACCAAGCACTGAAGCTTAATCCTCACACGATCCTCCCAGGTGCAGCCACAGGGAAATGGTACCAAGTACTGGTGCGAGATAGTGCGAGGCAGGTGTAGACACAAGACCATGAGGTATGCCTGAAAATGAGCACATATTTTCATATAATCTCATGTATGGTTTTATAGATGCCACATCTATTCTGCTCATGGGCATGCTTTCTTTTTGCTTCCTTTTCAGCTCTTCATATCTTTCTTTTTTTAGACTCCTCTGCGTCAAGAGCCTGTATTATTGGAGAAATATGGGCACATACAGGGTATATACCACGTCCCTGCCCCCCATTGGTGGGGGATGGTGGGGGACCCCCCGCCGTAAACTCCCACAGTGACGGTACCCGAACCCCCCCTCCATGGCGCGGGAATCCTTTGCCATTTAAACAATGGGGAGGGGATGCGGCACTCCATGCACACGGACTGATTCTATAAAGCGGTACTCTCACCCACTTGATAACGGGGAGTTAAGGGGATGAACTATTCTGAATGACACATCAGCATGAACCCAGTCACGCAAAAGGCACCAATTCGGACTGGAATCGCTTAATGAAGGCTTCGATATCGTCATCCCGGAGCACCTCTGGCACAATCCTGAGCTAAGTCCTATCTGTCTGCTTCTATGACGTTGCACTGCACAAATCTATGTCGATTGATGCTACTGGTCGCACGTCTCTTCACATGGCACACAATTCCCCCAAAGCCAAGCAAGTTAAAGCAGGCATGCTTGAACCCAAAACCCAACCAGAGCATTGCAAGGTGACCTGTCAGTCCCAGATGCATTGAGCCCCGTTCCCACGGAACCTGCAAACGACGACAAAACCGAAGCTGGCAGGACCATAAGAAGTTGGGACTTCGGCATGTGTTGTGGATGGACTTGTGCAAATTGTCTCTCTAAGTTTGGAAGATGTGAAAGCATTTCAGGAAGCTTGCCCACAGGATGTGATTGTGCCTGGCCATCCCAACTGGAGGGCCCATATCGACGCCGACGCAACGCCTCACTTGGTGCCACGACAAATGCAAGCCACCGGTTCTCGCAACACTCTCAAGGCGCGTGCCTCAGCAGAGGATACAGGATCGACGCGTTCCACCTGACAGCTATGCGGCCAATGAGGCTCTTTTGTCAATTGGGATACTTTGATTTTGACATGCCTTCTCTCAAACATTTCGTGGCCTGAATCCGCGGACCTTCCCAAGAGTTGAATCTCCTCAGGCCGGCTGCATGGGACATCTGCCGCAGGGTTGCCCGGCCTTCGGCACAAAGCCAGTGATGTAGGGAAGGATCTCAACTGTGCGAAGCTTTTCAGATTGGCGCCTACTCCTGGGACTTTCACATGCAGCGCGCGCGAAGCTGCCGCCATTGCGATACAAAGGAGTTTGGCCTGACAAGCCTATGGCACAACAGCCCTTTGAAGCCAGCAGTTGCTCGTGTGGGGCTTAAGCTGCGCAGGTTCTAAGAGATGCTGGGGGTGTTGTGAGCTGGGTAGACGAGGTCATGCCTGTCAGATGCATATGCTTCATACAATAGGTAAAAAGCTGCCAGCAGAGGTTCATCAAGCATCAAGCCTGTTCAGAGTAGCCTCAAGCAGGCAGACGGCATTGTCAAGGCGACGTCGGCAAGGCACATGTCAGTGAATCCAGGCTGCTGTCCAAGAAGCTAGAATAGTTGACCATGATGCCAAGTCCGGCCTCTCAAGAGCAATATGTTGAATCTGCTCTAGGTTCCGAATTAGAGCTATCCACCTTTGAGTGAGCAGTGAATGAAAACCTAGTGACGCACCACCGGCCAGCAAACAGCTTTCAACGAGGGAGACCAACAAAACTGGCATCTCACAACTCTCAAGTCAACATGCACTCAAGCTGTGAGAGTCTGTGCCCGGACACATGCATATCTCCAACTGGACCATCTACCTACCTACCTACCACATAATTACCTTACACACAACTCAGCCAAGTTGCAGCGAAAATAAACAAATGTGGATACCTCACGTCTGATTTCAGGAGTCAAAGATGGTCAAAGTGTGCATCAGTTACACATCTGGCCCCATGAACGGATCAACTGCAAAGTGATGAGCATGACTACTTCACTACCCCATAGAGCCATAGAGATTGACAAGCAAACGATTTCATCAGCCAAGAGTCTGAAACACTTTGTCCAGGACCTTGAAGGAAGCATGGCTACCCTACACTCACGGACACGAACTTGTGGGCGGAATAATTTACACCATATGGGTTCTGCGACAGCCAAGCGCAAACAGGCTTGCTTGAGAGCCTCTTTGTTTGGCTGTTAAGGCTCCCTGGCACTCCTTCGGAAGTTTCGAAAAGCAAGGGCACCCCCTACCCTGTGAAAAGAAAAGATCCTTAACCAGTCCGCAGATACATGGAAAATGGGAGCCATAATCTTCAGTAGTGTTTTGTCTACATTGTGAAGCTTAGCTCAGAGTCAAGGTTGGCAGAGTCACTGCGAACAAGGCGCATCCACTTCCATAAGTTGCTGCCTGAGCTGCGTGTTTTAAGGGCGGGAGCGTTCAATCCACTTGTGCATCTTAAAACGCTTCAGATTGCTTTCATACACTTTCAGAGTCATAACAAAACCACGCAAATCGACAGCCTTGACTACCCAACTCAATCCTTACGACGCATGACCGCTTGCATCTCCTGAGCTAGCTCAAGCTATACGATTCCATGCCAAAGCCGTCCATTGAATTTGTGGAGCTGATGTAA